CAATATATATGTATATATATATATATATAATGTAAATGAATGAGAAAATATATTAATATTTGTAATAAGTAACAGAAGAAATAAGGATTTGTCTGGTGTAACTGTAAGGTACAAATTGTAAATTTTTATTAAGGACACCATTTTTCATATAACGATGATTAAGATTTTTTTAAATATTTTTAACATCCGTGTGTCTGTTCTTTAGAATATTCCACTTGTTTGTCGAAGTAACTTGCAATATTTTACAAGAAACAGAATTTCGCGAGCTCTCTAATTCTCTTAGGAAACTTGACGCGCATGAACGAAGTCATGATATTTGCGATCGTAACTGTCATCATTCATGTACATATATTCTTTTCCTTATTTTTATTTTAATTCAGCATTAATTAATTCCATTAACCGCGTCTGTATACGATTATCTCTCCGCTACCCTCCGACCATTCTAGTTCTTCAAATCCTTCCTCTTCGTACCTTTCTCTCTATCCCTCTTACTCTCACGTGTCTCCGGATAATTTTCATGACTCGGAAAGAGCGGGGGGAGGGGGGGGAAGACATAATAAAGCTACCAAAAGTGAAAGAAAACGGGGAATGCGAGGTAAAACGGGGGTTAAAATGAAATCTAACAAAGAGAAAGTCAGAGAGTGTATTATTATGGGATAAAAAGAAAATAGGCGAACCAAATGAGATGGAAGAGAAGAAGAAATCACGGAACAATAGACAAATGAGAAAAATAGTTGTAAAAGCCACACACGTAAGAACACGTACACGTACACATACACATAGACACAAAAAGAAACACAAATGTACTAAGTAAGTTCATACTGCGTATTGCCTTTCTGACTTCGGTGTGAAAATATATAAATAAAAAAAAAGTCAGTCGCGCCGGGGCACGCGTATGTTCGCGCATACATATTATATATTATAGTTATTAGCGTTCGACGAGAGAGACGAGGACTAGCTGCTTCCGCTTCTTCCTGCCAGCCTACATTGTAGCCTTCCTCTTGTCCTTACATTCGCTTCTACAATTCGATCCTTTTATTGAGAACTCTTCAACGGGTAAAAGAAACACTTTACAAGAGGAGATTGGCGACTTCCGTCTTTACGTCCGATCGAAGTCGCATCACTTTCCCTTCTCTTATTTACGGGTTCTCTTAAAATTTGTAACTTAAAAAAAAATTGCCGTATTTCCGGTTGATTAATCCTGCTTGTTTATCCCGGAGTAGGCGAAGGCGGAAGCAGCGGACGGCAGTATTCGTCGCGAAAACTTTTTTCACGGTTCCGTAAGAAAAAGTCCCACGCCGAAGTCCGCGCGTCCCCGCCGACTGTGTCTGTTTCATGTTTTTCAATATTTGTAATTTATCGATAAAATTATAAAAGATATCGATACATAACAATCTAAAGTGTGCGCTACTCTACATAATAATATTATATATAAAAAGTATAAAAGTATACATTATATATATATTATATATATATACATATATATTATATATGAAAAGTATAATATATATATATTATACATACATTGGGATTGGTGAGAATATACGGTTTTTTCGCTTTGGAGTGTTATTTTCTGAAAATATTGAACAAAATATGGAAAAAAAATTAATAAAACCAATGAGTAAAAACAAAACAAATGTGATTTTTTTTATTCTCACCCGATGTACGACACATCGTCGGCGACAGGCAATTCTCTGTTGGATTTTGCGATTACATTCATATCGCGTGAGCGCACAAGTGTGAATATCTGATGCAAATAACTTTGTATGACGCGTAATATTTTGCTTTCAATTCATAATACATGAAATCGTCCGATATATTAGATTCTGAAAATAATTCAGAATTCGAATTATTATCAGATTCTGAAAATAATTCAGAATTCGAAGAAGAGCACAATGAATTCGTTCACAAGGAGAATGAGGTTGGTTAATATATAATACTTTTAATAATTAATATTACTTCAAATGTTCAATTTTGTGATGGATTTAAATAATGTCTTATTAACTTCTTAAAATTAATATATGAACAAATTTAAATTGCCAATTTTAATGTGTAACTGATCTGTAATTATTTTCAATTTGTACATATTGGACATTTTCATTATTAATGACAATGTTACTATAATGTAATAATTTTGTAAAAATTTTATTTTTCCATTCGACATTTCTCGAAAATACAGATATTCGAAAAAATTATATATATACCGACTCTTCCGAGCACTTTTAATAGTCTGGTTAAGAAGACAGTGAAGCTCGAAACGGATGAACCTCAATGTGTTATCGAGTCGGTAAAATTTTAGATACAAAAAAAAATTATTTAAATTTTATAAAATCTGAAATTGTGAGATATTGAATATTTAATCTGTACAGATTGCTAGGCGATCTTTTAGGAGTTAAAGATCACGAGATTAACAAAGTTGCTTTTTGGTTTTTGGATACAGTAGCTCTTCAAGTTTTACGTTACAAAAATTGTCTAGATGATTATTATAGAAGTATATTAATTAGCTGGTTGGCTGGCGAAATGAAATTAATTCGAGGTGATTTTATCTATTCATACATGTCAAATAAAATATTTTTTACAGAGAGAATATTTAGAAAGAGATATAATATTCTTACATAAACATAAATTAAAATGAATATTTTAGTATATTTGAATCTAATTAAATAACAAAATTTCACGATACAATGGCATAATAATAATTAGTGAAATTATATCTTTTAGAGACATAGAATATTTTTGCAGATAAACAACTACTTCGCGAAAATTTTTTTAAAGAAATGAGAATATTATTTCTCTATGTTGCTAAAAAATTATCTGATGGCGATCGATTGCCGCATTGGGAGGTACTCATGGATGCGTATTCTGAAATTATGGCACAAAATTCTACTTCTAATTGGTCTACCGACAGTGAAACGGAATATTTAAATACAAATAAATCATCTGAAAAGGAATTAATAGCAGAAGATGAATGTGCTTTCCAAGAAAATAAATTTACCTTTGTTGGAAAACACTTGAAAAATTATAAAAACAGGTAAATCAAAGAAAGCATAATTTATTATTATCGTGAGTCATCACAAGTTACATTATTTTATTGTGCGTATAGTTTTTTAAAACTACATCAAATAAAGATTCTTATTTCAGTGTAACAAATAATCTGGAAGAGAAATCGCCGAAAAACTTCAAGATTGTATTAACTACAGAGAATTCGCGAACAGATACAATCACAGATGAAAACACAATTATTGAATCTTCTAATTTAATGAATCCAAGCGACGTTCTGGATGTAATTGTTGAAGCGACATACAACATGTACGTATAAAAACATACGATATATTATTTTGAATATTTTTTAACATTTCGAAGAACAATAATATGCATAATATAAGATTTATCGTCGCATCTCTTATTTTTTTAAACAGGTATGCTAATGAATTACGATACGCCCTTATATATGCAGTTTTTGTAAAATCGATACAGATGCAAATGTTTCTTATGCCTCATGCTCATCAAATACAACGTCAAATTAAATTTGCCCTTTCTGGAGGATCATTTGACGTACAGCTTCGTGAACGATTAGAAGAGGTTGCTTGTGAATCAATAATTGACAATGGTAAAAAATTTAAATCGAAATAGTATAATAAAATAATTATAGATTTAGTTATTCATATATGTATACAATATAATGCAGTACTACTACATTTATCTCTATTAATGTTTATGTAATCGTACTTATATATATTGTCTATTTTATACTTTATTATAATTATAAGAATGTATTTATTTTTTATTTTATCTCATGGTCATGTAATGATTTGTCCACAGTGATAATTGAAAATTAATAATTTTTTTGCTTCCAGAAAAGGAAATAACTGATGACATGAGAGAAGACCAAATGATCGAAGATTTCGAAATTCCTCCATCACCACCATCTTCATTAAATGAGGAAGAAATATTAACTAATAATTGTCGATTTATTCTACCGTTGATAGAAGCGAACGAAGCGGTGCAGATCTTCGAAATGCATGCAAGGAGTATGTAATACAATAAATATGAATATAAGATTGAAAGAATATATTATTTCGTCTAACAATTTAAAGTACAATGTTATTCTGTGATTATCGCCGTGCCCCATTCATGACATTTGAATTTTTTCACTGTTTCAGAATCTAGCGAAAAATAAATGTCCAATTTGACAAAATTATATGGATTTTCCAAGTTTCGTTGAAGTTTTCCTAGTTGACCGTACTTATTAGTACCACAGCCCCAAAAAAAGCCGTCGTCTGAAAAAACGAAGATTATTTTTCTTCTATAATCTATTGAGTTTATGAAAAGAAGATTCATTTTACCTGTTAAGCATATAGTAAATGAATTTCCACACTCGACTTTTTTAACATTAATTTCTATATTCTCTCCTCTGTCATTTTTAAAATCTACTATAGTTGGAACGGCGTAAACTTTTTTGTCTTTATTTTCAATTCCTAATTCTCCATTTGAATTCCATCCCCAAGTATAAAGATCACCCTGTTATGTTAAATTTCGTTTAGAAATCATATATAATGATATATGTAATTTACTAATTTTTATGTACTGACCTGGTCAGTGACTACGGCGGTATGCCAACCACCTGCTGATATTTGTACTACTTTGAGACCTGCTAGAGCTTCAATAAGCTTTGGATTATCACAATTCTCTAACTCGTTGTGCCCTAATTGGCCACGTCTATCATGTAAATTATAATAATTATACGGCATAAAAATTTCCTAAGAATAATTTTGTGCTTCTCTAATATTACATACATTCCCATCCCCATTGAGTATACATCGCCATTCTCTGCCAGTAAAATAGTATGATCAAAACCACAGGCAAGATCAACAAATTTGACTCTCTTTGGTGTCTCAACCAAAATTGGGGCATTAAATACGCGTCCTTAGAAAATAAAACATTTTTTGTAAAACTATATTTAATAACGATGTAATGCTTAAGCTGAGAATTTTTTATTGCACACCTAAATTGGTTAAAATTACTGTACACCCTGCTTGTGATAGTTTAATAGCGTGTTCAACTTGTATGTTGTCATTGTTAGGAATAAAGGGTGTTACTTTTTGCCAAGTATCATCATATATTTTATATTTCCAGATTTCATTGCGTGTGGACAAAACAACTACACTATTCCTACCAGGAATAGCCAATTTGCAACTGTAAAAAAAGTCATATTTTAATAAGGTAAAAAATAAAATAAAATTTTTAGTAAAGAAAAAAGTCGTATTTTGTCTATTGCCTTCCTGATGACTCTTCTGGAATCTGCATTAAACGTGGCCTGTTTTTTTCATCTTCTTCATTAATTTTACCAGTGATATATAATTTCGTATTTTGCCACAGAAGAAAATAATTCCAACCAATCTCAATGTCTGTGATTTCAGGAAATGGAATCTGAGTCAAATGCGATATTGATGTGATAATCTCATCCAGATTGGAAAAGAGTGGACTGGCATTTAAGCCAGTATAATATACCGGCATGTCTCTGTAAAAATAAAAATATAATAGAGTAATATAACGCTATTATTTTATTATTATAAATACTTTATATATATATTATCAGTTTTTTATTATTACGAGAGAATTCCATGATTATTTTTTTAAATTTAAATGATTCATAAAAATGTAAATTATATTTGATATTTCAATAATATCTCATTATTGAGGCATGGTTTAAAAAATTATGTTTTTCATTAAGAAAATAAAATAAAATTATTTAAATAAAATATGTAGGTAAAACAGAAATGTATTTATTTATCTACTGTCGTTCACAGAAGCAATACGAAAAGATATCAGTATGCGCACGTGGTAACCGAACTGTAGCTTCTCATCTAACGGTACCAGATACGCTGATCAGCTCATAATATCAGTCAGAATATGCAGATGTCACTATTTTCCTTGGATACCAAGAAAACACAACATTTTCATATAACGTAATAGAAATCGCTGAAATAACGCAGTAGATCGTTAACGCATCTTCATTCCAGTACCTGAAATATATATCATCAAGAAGATGGTAAAAGTCACGTGAATTAAATGCAAATGCACAATATTATGCACTCTTTTTTTTCCCCGCCACTACCTGAACACACTTTTAAATGCACGAAGTAATCGAAACATAACCTGCGAGAATTCTATTGTAGTATATCAAGTTTATATTATGCGCTTTAAGTTTCTATTAACAAGTTCTACATAGAAAATTAAGAATTGCAAAACATCTCATTAAATAAAGTAAACAAGTTTTATCAGTTTTTATCGTATACGAAAATTCACTTTCTGTGCACTACGTTCATATCTCTCTGTATATACACTCGGAATGACGTTGCGAATGCGGGCTGGCTATACCCTCGTCATCATAACTTGCATATATTCGACTAGGAAAAGGGAATTATCTTCTTAAAATTGCACATTCTGTTTACGAACGAAATTCAAAATATTTCTATAGCTGTTTAACTTTTTACACAATATTTCAATCAATTGTAAATTATTGACATATACACGATGTAATTGCAAGTTCTTGTAATTGCAAAGTCATAAATTTCTATTAATAACTATGCTATAATAAAATAAAATAATGTAAATTATAAACTTGAATAATTTGATAGAAAAACAAAGTTATTTAGTTTCTGAAATAAATATTTCAAATGTTTAAAACTTCTAAATTTTTACTAAAATTACATTATATTGTAATATAATAAATAATTACATAATAAAATTATTATTAATTATTATTAATTGTAATATTATTATAATAATATAATTATTATATTTATAATAAGTGTAATTGTACTTTGTAATATAATAGATAAACATATAATTTTTCAAAAATAATTATAGTGAAAAAATTTTTTCTTCTTTATTTATTAATTTATTAGATAATCTAATCATTAATATATTGAAAAATAAAGTATTTGTTATCATTTAAATTGCAAAACTATTTCAAGTTTTTCCCACTATTATAAATCCATTGTAAATCATTGATATTTAAAATGTTAGGGTCTGCTTGCCATTTTACGGAAATTACGATCAAATCCTGATAAAGAGCTACGATTATTACTACTGGGTCTGGACAATGCTGGAAAGACAACTATTTTAAAATCTTTGGCAAGCGAAGATATTACCCAAGTAAACTAATTTCTTCTTAATTTCCAAAATTAATTATTTATATTAATTAATTTATAGACAGTGTAGTAAAAATTGATATAAAGTATATTTGTAAAATATATAGTATGACAAATGTATTGTATGAATAAATTGATTTTTTTAAGGTAACTCCAACACAAGGTTTTAATATAAAAAGTGTTCAGAGCGAAGGTTTTAAATTAAATGTTTGGGATATTGGTGGAGCTCGAAAAATTCGACCGTATTGGCGAAATTATTTCGAGAATACGGATGTACTTGTAAGTCTTTATTATTTATTAATTTCTTTAATTTTTAAATTTTAATATAAAAATTATTATATTTTTTATCATTATTTAATAATATAGTTTTCATATAACATTTTATGGCAGCAATGAGATACAATAAATTAATTTATTATATAAAATTAAATATAGAAAAGATAACAAAATATATAAAAGAGGAATAATTTATGTTTTTTTTTACTGAAGTTTTATTGTTTTAATAGTCGAATTGTAGAAAAACTCCCTTAACCAAACGTGTCAGGAGACAAGGTAGTTCCAATAATCGAATAGTTTGCATAGAAGCCTATTATTTCTTTCTTCTACCAATATTTATTAGTTTTTTTTCGATAATAGGAATGTTCGGAAAATTGAAGTTAAGTTTTTGTAGTTCGGATAATAAGAGCTCAGCTATAAATTCGTATATTTAAAACTAAATATGAACTTGTTTGTATAAACAGAATGCAGATAAATTATAATAAACGGATAATAAACGGAGTTTTATGTATATATATAATACATTTCAAATAATATGCATATTCATTAAGAATTATGTATTCTCAAATATCGTAAAATTCTATAAATGAATTAATTGTAGCAATTTAATTTAAATAAGATTAGAGAATTTAAATAATATTTAATTTCTTTTTTAGTAAGAGTCGATTTTATTTAATAAATATTACAAATTAATTGTGATTATTCAAGAAACGTCCATCGCGTTCTGTATTTATTTAAAAATAATCTTAAAATTTATGCAAATATTTTATCTTGTATCTTTCTTTCTAGATAAAAATTGAATTAAAATTTTGTAACGTTTAATTGATTATAGATTTACGTCGTTGATAGTGCGGATATCAAAAGGTTGGAGGAAACGGGACAAGAATTATCAGAGCTTCTATTGGAAGAAAAATTACGCGGAGTGCCATTGTTAGTATACGCGAATAAACAAGACCTGGGACATGCTGTAACAGCAGCTGAAATAGCCGAGGGACTCGGTTTACACAATATCAAGGATCGTGATTGGCAAATACAGTCATGCATAGCTATTGAGGGCAAAGGCGTGAAAGTGTGTAGCAATATTTTTTGGCTTTAAAATTTTTTAATGTGATACATTAATTATATATAGAATTATATATAGAATTTTACCATTAATGCTTTCTATATTTCAATATATTGGACAGTATATAAACCGTGTAAAAATAAAATCTTAGACATAAAAATTTAAATTCACGTCAATGTATAATTTTATGGAATTATGTCTTGTATTAGTTGCATTTTAGAATTAAGCTTAGAATTAAGTTTGTCTCTATTTTTAGGAAGGTTTAGAGTGGGCATGCAAGAACATTAAAAGGAAGTAATAAACACACCATGGAAATTGAGAGACATAATTGACGTTTATGTTACATTAGGGCGCACGAAAGGAACAAGGCTTACACCATCTCCATTGTATATTTTACACATGATCTTTATTTATCTTTTAACTACTATTTACAAAAAAATATTTAGAACATTGTTATATAGATTTGGTATGAATGTACGTATATCGAACGGGTCTACAAACCCGTCGTCATATCGAACATATCCAATTGTCAGACTTCCGTCTATTTTGGACTCGAGAAGTTCTATTTTTCGCAGAAAAAAGAGTAATAGCGAGTCCATAAAATATATACGGCAAACTCTACTTAAATGTGCCTTCTTGCTGTTTTAAATATAGATTGGAATTTTTATAGATTTATCTAGTGAGAAATAAAAAAATAAAGAGATGTAACAAGAGGAAAGACACACGATATGTATAATTCATATAGATACAATTATTAATACAATATTTATACTTATATGTATATAGAGATTTGAGCACCATGCATTATTTCACTTGCGAAGAAAAGTCGCGGAGACAGCTAAAGTATAATTTGCAATATGCACAAAATATCCATAGCTACACTTCCTCTCATCTAAATAAACGAATATATACTGTATATATAAGTAATTAAAAAAAATTGTAATTTGAATAATGTTCTCGATTCAGCAGCTCTTTGTGAGAGATGATGAAAATCTGTATCATTCTGGTGTATTTATGATACGATATTATTTTTGCAATTGAATCCGCTTTAAAGTTTCATACCACAATCTGCTTTTAATAACTTGTTTTTATAAAATTTTTTCTCTTAATGACATTTGAACATGAAATTTTGATATTCAATAAGTTTAATTTTTTATCCCGTAATAAATAGATTTATTATATTAGTGGCATATGATACATTTAAAATATGAATCAGAGAAATGACTCATTTTTATATTTTTATTGATGATTTTAATATTCTTAATCATTTATTCTTTGAGACAAAAATATCACATGATATCATCATCCCAATCACACGAATGATATTTTTGCAATTTGCAACATTAACATGGAAAATGATTCTTGCGCATGATGATAACATAATTATGATACTATTTTTTTTCTTAAAAAAAAAAAGGTAATATAATTAAAACTGTCATTAAAAAGTATTGTTTTCATTTTTTGATGTCATTAAGAGAATTATTAGTTATATTTAGTGTATTATTTTTAAAACGTGATTCTTATTTACAATTATAATTATCCGTTAAAACAACCAAAAAAATTGGAAGCCTTTTGCATATATCATATGCTTTTTAAGAACCTTGGTTCTCAAATACTTATTCATAAATATTATAAAAATTTTTAAAATATTTGAATTAGACCACATAGACATTCATCAGTTAACATTTTCTAAATATCTTCACGGTATCTTCTAAGTGTTTTTTGTCTCTGGTTACGTTTTATTAACATAAAATATTAAAATTGATGCTTTATAGCTTTTTGTTTGTACATACAAAAATATTGAAGAGACACTCATTGATAGTCCTTTCTATCAAGTCTCCGCCACATTCATCAACATAATTTTGTTAAGCGTATTTTATTTTGTGCAATAGATACGATAAAATAAATAAAAACGCGACTTCGTGACACGTATTTCTAATTTTGAGGCGACTTAGCAATATCTTTCACAGGTTGCTAACGAGCTAAACTCATAGTTCGCTATGAATGTTTTCCGTGGTCACTCTGATCTCCTCTTCATGGAAAGCAATGCAATCTGCTGGATATTTGCTCTGAAAGCAAAGAAAAATAAGAAAATAGTTTTTCTTTACTTTAGAGTGTAAATTAAAATGTACTTTTCTTTCTGATAACGAATTATAGAGAGGATTATAATTTACTCACGATGCATCCCTCTTGCTCCATAATGGCTCCGTAGAGGGACCAGAAATTAATACCTAATTTATTACTGACTGCCCAGGCCGCAGGGAAACTTGCTACCCTCAGCAATGCACTACGTACGCGTGCAAATACCTCGTTACCGCCGTCCTCTCGTTGCTGGCTCTTCTCATTTATGGTACATAAGATTTGACTAGCACATTGCGGCACCTTTGTCGCCCATTTGTACGCTCGATACGACTAGAAGTAAATAAATAATATATCGATATTTATTAAAATATAAAAATAAGTAAAAATTTAATTAACATCCTGATGAAAATAAAAATCAGAGTGTACATCGGATGTAATGGGAGAGTAACAAAAGCGTAAACGAAACTTCTAAAAAGATGAAAATTGAAACATCAAAATGTAAAAGAAACGCAAATGTTTCTTTTACATTTCATTATTCTAATTTTCGCCTTCTAGAAATTTCGTTTACGTTTCTCTCTGCTCTGATTTTTATTTTCATTCATCAGGGCAGCTTTAATTAGCAAATTGATTGCAATACGGATTATACTAATATGAAAAAATTACGACTTTTTAGATTCTGATTTTATAGACAGTAGAACTCTGTTTTTCTAAAAATTTCAGAAAATAAAATAATTCCGATATTCGAATAATTCGGATAATAAAGGTTCATTAATTTTCTTCTTCACACCAGTATTTATTAATTCCGATAATAGAAGCTGATGTTCAAAAAAATTGAAGTTAAAAATAGTTGAGTTCTGAATCGAGCTTCTGTTATCCTACCTATTAACTCAATTATATGAATTCGGATATTTATAACTGAGATAAATTTGTTTGTATAAGTGGATTGCAAATAAACGGAATTTCTATTTTCTTTGTATTATATTAATTTTAAAAAATTCTGTTTGTGGTACTAAACATTTTAAATGTATTAAATTTTAAAAATATCAACATTTTAATTAAATCATAAAAAGCATCAAATTTTAATTAAATCGAGTTTTAATCTTTAGCAACAAAACTATGAAAAATTAAAAATAAGATTACTTGTTTATGCAATAATTTATTGTATAAAAAAGATATTGTTAACTGTATAACTGCAAGAAAAGTGTTTTACCTTGAGAACAGGGCCGATGATATCATTGTTGATAATGTCGCTTAGTTTGTTGCTTAGCTCTCGTGCATTTATTCGGGACATAATGAATCCTTTTTCGGAAGCCAAGCTTACTAATTCCTGGAAATACGCTACCGCCGGTCTTACATACTGTGAGCTGTCGAATTTTACGTTTAGATATCTCTTCGTCAATCCGTTTATCAATCTAAGCGAAAAATTTTACATTGACTTTTGGATATATTCACAAAAAATAGAGAGAACTTAATTAACTAAACATTTTCATATTAACCTGGAGAAACTGTCCACTGGTTTTGAAGCATCGAACATCATTGTTTTTGGGAATCCCTGAGATTTTAGAAAGCTGTTACCGACGAATTGCGCGGTTGTGAGGTAGCGTTGCTGATTTATTGGTTCGGAAATGTGAGAGATCCATTCAGCCACAAAATTCGTGAGCGACTTGACCCACCTTCGACGTATAGTAGGACTCTCAAAACTATCTAGGATTTTCTCCCATAGGATATCGCCATTCTCGTCCCTCATTTGAGCAATTACCGTCGAGAGACCGCTGTTCTTCCATAACGTTCGCCCGAGTTCCGAATTACTAAAATACAAAGAAATTCTTAATTACAGTAAAAAGCGAGATATCGATAAAATTTATTTATAAATATTAAATTATTTTTAATATTTTCTAATTCTCTTTAAAATATAACTAAATTTATCAGAGTTAGAAAGTAATTCAACGTTACTTGTGACAAAATTAGAGTTACTTTCTTCTACTGTAATTTAATTTTGTTCCTCTTTAATTTAGTTATATTTTTTGCAACTATAGTAACTAATTTAATAATTATTTTTATGATTATTTTATATTAAATTTATTCGTCATTGTATAGACTGATCAAAATGAAATGTTCAGCAAACAATCAATGATTATTAATTGTGATGTGATTGAAGTATACACTTATTAACAAAAATTTTAAAAACGAAGTATTTTTTAAGAATTTTAATATATTTTTATTTCCTGAGATACATATGATAAAAATAAAAGAAATATTATTTTATACGTTGAGTAATTGTAAATATTTTTAAAAATATATTTTTACAACGCTAGAATCAATGTGAAAATGACTGCTTTAAACTAAACAAAATAAATAAACTTTTATACTTTGTTTTATAATTTTTGTTAGTGAGTGTATCTTTATCCCTGATAATCATTATACTTTGTAAACGTCTATATTAAATTAGAACGCAATATCTTGGTCCTATAATTTTGTGATTCCAGATATATGTATATATTAATTTATTATAAATAATATAGCGTAATCAAATATTTAGTATAATAAGTAAAATAATTTAGTTTAATGTTAGAAATATGTGTAAGTTTCTTATATTTAAACTAACAACTCAAGAAATTATTGAAGAATTAACTGAAAAGTAATGACTTGTACTAATACTAATTGTAGCTGTAACATGTTACTTTTTAGAATCAGAAATTTGTAACAATAACTTGTTACTTTTAAATTAATAAACTTTTAAATTTACAAAGTAACTTTTCCAATTCTGATCATTCTCGTATAATATAAAATTTTCAATTAATACAAGGACTTCTCGTAAAGTATTTTCCTGTTTTGCTTTAACTTATTTCAACAGCGTAGAATTAACATAGAGTATTTATCGCGTTTTTATTGAATAATTGACGTTCTACCTGAAGTGCTCCCACATGATGTGAATGGTCTCCAATATCGGCGGTAAGAACCAAGAATGTCCCGAGTGATCTTTATTCCCGGCATCGTTGTCTTTCATTCCATGACCCAAGGAATCTAAAAGCATTGGCAAGAGACCCAATGTTACGTCGTTGTTCGCATTTTGTTGCAAGAACATGCTGCCCATGCTGATTATGTTGCCCCAGTCTATGCCGGATTCCTCTTTATGTTCCGTATCTCTTGCTGATCTCTTATTCGAACCAGCATTCAAAAGGTCCAGAAATGAACCCATCATTGATAAGTGATTATTTTGTCCACCTGACATCAAACTACTGAGCCCGGAAATGATCTGGCTGATACCGTCCGTTGTGTCGGATCTTTTTTCAAACATCATGTCGCGGACCTGTTAATTTCTCATACTTTATATTTAAATTCTTAAACAATTATTTCGTAAACATAAAAATAAATTAAAAATAAAATTTTAAGCACAATTAATGATTCTTATTTTGAATATTTATAACGGATTTTTTTGTATTAAGATAAAGAAGATATCAAGGCGAAATGGTAAATGTTAAAGAAATCAAAGAAATTGAAATTGATTAATATTAGATATACTCAGAGAACAAAAAAGTCAAAATACGGAAAAAATGATATATAAAATGTTTTCTTTGATATTTACTAGTTATGAAAAAATTTGATTATGATAACAAAACATACATTTCTGTGAAATATATCTCATTAACTGTAAAAAGTATAAAATAAATGACTTATTTACAAGAAATAACATTTTATTTTGTTATTTAAATAAAGATTTATTTCAGTAAAATAAATATATTTTTTACAAATAAATTTTTAAGTATCTTTTTAGTATATTTTTTTTAAAGAATAAATGAATTTTTATCATACTTGCTTGCCGGCATCTGAATGCGCAAACTTATGGGCCATGTCCTCAAGCGACTGATGGGAAAAGAGGTTTTTAGCTTCCTCGATGAAAATGTTAGACGCATCGTCCTCATTATTCTTTTCAGAGCTCGCCAGCCCGATTAGTACCAATAAGAGCGATGTCCTCGACAACCACATCCTCCCGTTTCTGTAACACAACATTTGGTTAGCGCGACTATTCGATGATATTTCTGCTG